TCCTGGAGTCCCGGGATCGAGTCCCGCATCGGGCTCCCTGCTCGGCGGGGAGTCTGCTTCTCCCTCTGACCCTCCTCCCTCTCGTGCTATCTCTCATTCTCTCTCAAATAAATCAATAATATCTTTAAAAATAAAAATATTGCTGTGCACTTTAAAAAAAAAAAAATGAAGGGGCTGAGCCCAGGCCAAGAGGTGATGGCCAGTAGTGGGCCCCAACCAGGGACACACAGAAAGCTGTGTGTCTGCCTGTTTCGAGACAATGTGTGTAGGGCCTAGGCCATTCATTACCAAATCCTCCTGGGAGTAAACCCAACTCAGATGGGACGAGGCAATGACACAGGTCTCTAGGCCCATCCCAACCACTACCCTCAATGTCCCCATCCAGGGTCGTATGCAGTAGGGAGCCACCAAGAAACCTTCCCTCCTTCCTCTGGCTCATCCCTCGGGCCCCTCGTGGGCACGGCTATGCATCCAAGCAAGGTGTGCCCCCACCCACGGCACGGCTTCCAGCAGCCAAAGCAAGTGCTAACCCATGGAAGGACTCTAGTCAAACTTTCTAGAGTCTAGAGCTCTGCTACTGATATGTTCTAGAGCTTTTTCCAGGCCTCCAGAGATGAGAGGAAAACAACTCACCATCAAGGCCCGCCTGTCACTTGGGAAGAATGGAGGTGGAGCAGGAGGGCCAGTACCAGAGCCTACAGCTTTGGCATCATGGGCTCTCCTTGCCTAGCAGGCCGTTCCCAGGGAAGCTGCTCAGCACAGCCCATCAGGCCATGGGGAGGGCCACAGGTCAGGGTTGTCTCAGCTCCTTCACTGTCCCTGTCACAGCTGCTTATCTGCCTGCCTCCAGCCCGCCCAGGACAGAGCTCAGCTCCCAGCACAGCGTGGGCTGGTTTGAACCAGCCAGGCTCACGGGCCCCAGCACAGTGGTTCTGGCCAGAGGCAGAGCTTTGGGTCTGTGCTGAGTGGACGAGGAAGCACCATGTGGCCTGTTACGTCATCATGCCAGGTCCAGGTCTAGCCCACTCACAGGACGAGAGACCCCCCCCCCAAATTCCCCTGGGACCCTCCCTCCAAACCACTGGTGGCTTGGCTTTTTAGAGCTCTCATCTAAGACCCAAGGAAGGAAAAATTCCTACACCTGAAAGGATCAAAAGATCATGGGCAAGGGAAAAGGGGGCTGGAGAGCGCCCAACTCTAAAGGGTACCCCCAAGGCTGAGGGGCTATGGGAAGCACTCCCCCAATTGGGTCAGAAGACCTATGGTATTCCTGAGCTAGGGCCTCTCGCCAGGATAGGCTGAGAGGCAGTACCCTCCACCCAAAAAACTCAACCCACTTCCCTGCCAATGCCTTCTCTTTCCTCTCTGCACACCAGGGTCCTCCTAAAAGCTACCTCACGCCAAAGCAGGAAAGAACTTGGAGATCTAGAGACTGGGGAAATGGCAACCCAGATTAGCCTTGTGCTGCTTTCTACAAAAATGATCCTCTCACCCATGGCCCCCAGTTTGAGTAACAGCAGGAAAACAAGGCCCCATCAGCTATGACCAGCTCCTCTAAGTGCCAAGAAAGATGATAGAGAACCTGTTCCCTTCCTCAAAGAGGTTCTTGGAAGAAGGGGTATCAAAGTCAGAGGTGGGGAGGAGGTGTTGAGGTGGAGAGAGACAGGTGAACAAAGAAGGCAGCACACTGCAAACTGACCTGGGCCGGAGTGTGGCCCCTGCTGCCGTGTGATGCACTGGTAAGACCTACCTGGGCCAAGGGCCCTCTCTGATGGCCGTGACTGGCTAAGGACTGAGTCCAGCCACCATTCAGGATCCTCACATGGAAAAAGGAGGGTGGACACATTTCCTGGAGTGCTGGTAGCCTAAGAAGCCAGGCGTGGTGTGGGTACGGCGGGATGGGGTGGGAGTCTAACTTGGGGCGTAGCATGTCTAGAAAGCAGAGCACGAGGTCAGGCTGGGAACAGAGAAGGGACCCAGACTGGGGCTTCATGCAGCCGGTTCATCCAGACCGGGAATGAGGGGAAGGGAGAGAGGAGGGAAAGAGATGACCCTATCCTTTCAGGGTTCTTCCCAAATAAAAGGGAACGAGGATTCTTTCAACTGGGAGATAGAAGATATACAAGAGCAGCTTGAAGACAGCTTTCGGGGGTGTGGCTGCTAAAAAAAAATAGAGAATAAGGGCGTGAGTGAAGAGGAAACACCAGGGTCTCCCGAGTCCAGGGAGCTCAAGGATGAGGGGAGCCGACGCTGAGGAGTGTGCGGGGGCCTTTGTTACCAGCTTTCTTGGGGGTCAACTTGAAAGGGTGGGCTGGGGAGTGCTGAGGTGGGGCAGCGGGGAACGCTGAAAAATAAAGAAGCGAAAAGACTCGAATCAAGAAGCAAGGGAAGTCAGAACAAGAAACTGATTATGAGTAGGAAACAAAGTCCCGAGAGGAAGAGAATCAAGAGCTTCCGAACGGACGCCAGGAGTCCCGACTGCTGGGCCCCGGAGCTCAGACCTGGCTTCCGAGGGCACGCGGTGCCCGAGGAGGGGGGGGAGGGGGACGGCCGCGGCGGGGCTGGAGCCGGGCTGGGTCGGGGTCGGGCCGGCGGCCCTACCTGGTACACGGAGGCCTTAGGCAGGTCCAGGCAGACGGTGCAGCACAGCACCGAGTAGAGCCGCTCCTCCAGCTTCCCGCTGCCCGCCGCCGCCGCCGCCGCCGCCGCCTCGGCTGCCTCGGCCGCCCGCAGCCGCTTCTTGGGCGGCGCGTCTGGGTCGCCGGCCGCCTCCTGCAGCTGCCGGGCGCCGGCCAGGCCCGCCTCGTCCGGGAGCCCGGGCCCCGCCGCCTCGCCC